TTGATTCTTTTAGTATTCTACTTTCTTTTTGTTATGAAAAAAATTAACATAATTATTTCATTTTAACAATAACATCAAAATTATGATGATTAGTTTCATTTTTATTATAATTATAAAAAAAGTAATTAAAAAATAAAATATTATTTTCATGATGTCATTTTTTGTGTATGTAATAATCTGTCACCTTTTTTTTTCTTCGAAATGTATTTATAATTTTTATTTAGTCACCAATTATTATATTTTCTCTCTTCATTTTTTGTGTTTTCATCTCTTATTTTTATTTATTTATTTTACAAATAAAATCAATACATAATTAGTAATACATTTGAATTATTTATAACTCATGTCTCTTCATCTTACTTGTAACATTTGATATTCAATATTATTCATAACTTTTATATGTTTTATTTTTTGTAAGTCTTATAAATATTTAATTAAAAATTATAATAAGTAAATGTAATAATAAAATTAAAAAATAATCAATTTTATTTTGACGAAATCAAAGTTTGAACAAAACATTAATAGTGCTACAAAAGATAGAACATTAGTACTCCTACAAAAGATATAGAAAATTGAAACATATAAAATATTTTCAACCTAATACAATATATATATATATATATATATATATATATAAATATATATACACACACACACAAAATAAATAAATATATTTTATATGTTTAAAAAAAGTCTATGATATCGCAGACGAGGAGAAATATTAATATTATCTAATATACTCGATACTAATCTAAATATTACATATTTCATATTATTATTTTATAAATATTTTATATAATAGCGCGAAGCGCGAATAGTTTCACTAGTTCTATTATATGTATGGAGAAGTGGGAACCAACTACGCATAAAGATGGAGAAGGCAAATTACCTCGTTACTCTCAACTATCCATAAAGATAAGGAGTTACCTTAATCCCATTTAGGGTTGTTTATGGTTATTGTTAACAATCAAATCAAATCGCAATTCAAATCAAACCGATTAAAAAAAATAATATTTGATTTAGTTTGGTTAGACTTGGTTTTTAAATGTTGAAAACTGCTACTATTTGATTTGGTTTTGGTTTTACCAAAAAATAACTCCAAAAATAATCAAACCGAACCAATAGATTCGATATGTAAATTTTGTAATTATTTATAAATAAATTAAATTTTTTTTTGTTAAATTTTAATTTACTTAAGTCCTTAACTTTATCATTTTCTTAAGTCCAACACTTTAACCCAAGTATAACAATCTCAAATCCAAGTCCATCAAAATCTATTTTAGTCTTTACCTATTGTACGTCACATAAAATAATCATACTTTCTATTAAATGAAACACTTTGTTTGTGTAGTGATAACTCTAATATTGCTTAATGTCTTCACTGAACTGATATTAGTTTTTTTTTTTGTAGATTGTTCACGTAGTTGATGTTTGTGTCTATTGAAACACGTACATCCTCAAAAAAATTATTACTTTCATACCAAATAAACCAGAAAAACTGAACCAAACAAATAACAACCAAACCAATGGTTTTTTTTTTTTTGTTTCGTTTCGTTTGGTTTTAAAAATTTAAAAATCAACTAGATTAATTTGATTTTGATTTTAATTAATAACCGAACCACGAACATCCGTAATTCCATTGCTGGTTTGGATTTTGTGGCTCAAGTTTAAGCAGTTTTGATGTATGTGGTATGAAGTTCACATTTAACTAGAAGACTCAAACTACAACTTATATTTAACTAACCAAAACCACCTCCCCCCATTATTGTTAACGCAATATGTACGGCTTGCGCAAAAAATACTTCCAGTCTGCGAGCGTCCCATCTTTTTCTTACTTGGATGAAGAAAGACAGAACCTCTCTTTTCGGCCATAGTCAGCAGTTCGCTTTCCACTTCCGAATACCAAAGAGCGATTGAGAAAAATAAATTATGCCCCATTATAGTTATCTAAATATCTATTAAGCCTCTATCACGGTTAAAGTAATTACCTCGTATACCTAAACTTATCTTGTTGATTTAGGAACCGATGAATGATTTTCTTGCTAATTGTGGATGCATGTGTGAAATCATACATAGTTGCAGGGAAGACGAGGCTGGGTTGTTGCTAAACTTGCAGAAGCTCAGTTCTCATGTTAAGTAGAAAAGACAATGATCAACAATTATTGTTGTTTGATCTTTTTATTCTTACATAATCAAACTTCAAAACGGTTATTTGGTTCAACTAACTCTTAAACTAAGTGACCTCATTTTATAATATATAGGTTGGACTCATAAACAAATTTCTAAACTTGTTGGATGTTTTCCTTTATGTACCTCAACAATGTCAATTTCCTATTGAATAGTTGAACTACCCATAATTTATTCATTCTAAACATTGTTGGCTGATTTTGATCAGCTTTTCTACTGTAAATGCCTTCAATTATGTTCATATTGTAATGGTTTTGATTGAAGGAATGAAGACAGACTGTATGTGTTTCTAATGTGTTCAAATGACTTGAAATAAAACACAATTATTCTAGAACAGTTTCACTATCAATTAAACTAATGAGTTCTGGAACAACATATGTATGTCTCATCTATCAATACCCCTCACAAAATCTGGTTCCACATCAACCAACAGTGTTTAAAAGGAACAAACTATGGGTGATTCAATGATTCAATAGGAAAATAGCATAGTTGAGATACCTGAGGGGAAAACCCTAACAAGTTCGGAGATCTATTTATATATTTGACCTAATATATATGAGGTTGAATTTATTAATCAATTATGTACATATTGATTTCCCATATTTATATTTCTTTTAAGAAAAAATTACATAAATATACTATAATAAAAAAATATTTACCATTTATATCAGTAACATTTTTTTTCCACTTGATCACTTTTAATTCATTTATAGTACAAGTTTAATATATATTACAAAGAAAAATTTATTATTCACATATAATACAACTTTTAATGATGGATATACATTTATCACACATTTTAATACACTTATAATATAATGTGTCAAATTTTTTCCAAAGAAACATAATATATTTCAAAAAACAATTACAATTCATATATATTGCATACATAATTCATATCGCAGATTTAACATAGTATTATTATAAATGATAATAAATAAAAAATATTGCTACAATCAGTAATATTTGTTAAAATGTACTAATTTATGTAATTTTCCTTCTTTTAACACTGCATATTTAGAGGCCCAAAAACTGATAGTAAGGCCCAACCGATTAACCCAGGCCCATGATCTTCCAAGTGAGTGAGGGTCTGAGGGAGGGAATCCGGGGGCACTGAGACTGACTGGCGACCACCATTAACTACCAATCAGCGACGGAGATTTTCATTCGCTCTTTAGTAAGGTGCATATTTCTCTCTCTTATCTCCTAATTCTAATTCCTTTGTGTGATCGATAGTTGGCTTGAAATGATTTTTTTTCCAAAGAAACTAAATACATATATCTTTGATACCAGATAATTCTGAAATTCAGATGCATTTGTAGAGAGGCGAAGAGATGGATACAATATTTCTGAAACAAATTACACCTAATTTGACCCGCATGTATCTAGTGAAGTGAATGTGATATGAAAGGTAATTTAGAAATCTAAAGTGAAGGCGCATAATTAGGTCCTAAACTAGTGAGATTTGTGTTGTTTTCTCTTTAAAATATTCGATAAATTATAGAAATTCTACTAATTTAGGAGTTAATTACTTATATACATACCAGTTTGCAATATTACCTAACTTATCATGACTTGGTGCGTTGCCTTGCGTCGCGTCATACATGCATCTCAGGATATATACATTGTATTCAAGTGTTTTAACATGTATTAAGGATACATATACAAATCTCACTCGCCTCCCTCCCGTCTCGCTTGTCATTCTCTTATCTCGCTGGCGTATCCAAAATACACGTGAATCATACCATATACATATTTAGTGTGATTCACACGTATATTAGATACATCAACGAATTTCACTCACATTCCATGTATTCTTGTTCACCTCCCTATTTCAGTGTGTTTGGTAGAAAAAAAATATCATGTGAAATACTATAGGAATAATTGTTAAATATGGTAGAAACGTTTGTGTAATTAATTTATTTTCTGTTCGTGTAATAAGGTAGTTTCGCCTTTTAAAAAAGGACAACTTTCACATATAGCAAATAAAAAATTCGTATTTGTATGCTATAACAAAGTTTGCATAATTACGCTCCATAGCAGACATAGAAACTGTATAATTCGCTATACATGTACAGTTGAAGCAAATTGTATAAAACGAAGTGTATAAAACAAGAAAGAGAAAGACACTTGGGCAGAGAACTGTATAAAAATGAAGTGTATAAAACGAATTGTATTATTATAAGTGTATAGAACGATTATATCCAATTTGAATTTGTATAAAATGAGAAAGAGAGAGACAAAAGAGACTTGACAAGAAATATACAATTGAATCGAATTGTATAAAACGAGAAAGAGAAAAATTAGATACAATTTGAAAATTGTATAAAATGAGAAAGAGAGAAAGACAAAAGAAATTGGGCAGAGAGTATTTTTATTGTATAATTATAAGTGTATAAGACGAAAATATATGTACTTGCATGTGTATATATAATTTTCTCATGCTTTATACAAACAGAAACACAATTTATACATTTCGCTTCTGTTTGTATAAGTGAGAAAGGCGAGGGTGACGAGCGAGATTTGGGAGAGTGGCAAGCGAGATCTGGAAGAGGGAGAGAGGAGAACAAAAATATATGTATTTATACAATTTTTATACACTTGTGTTTGTATAAAAAGTGAGGAAGCGAGCGAGAGACTGGAGGAGAGTGGCGAGCGAGATATTTGGGAGAGAGGCGCTTGACACTTTTTTGCAAACGTTTGCTATGGAGCATAATTAAATCAAACCCTAGCTACTCTATTTATTTTAGGTTATTAATTTGCAATTATATACAATTTTTCCTTAAAAAAAATTAATTCAATATTCGATTTTAGGTCCCTTATGAATCAGAGGCCCAATCCGTTTATTTCCCAAGAGAGTAAGCGGCTGAGGGTTGACACTTCTGAGTGAGAGAGACTGAGGCTGAGCACCACCAGCAACCACCGGCGACCGGCGACGGAGATTCCATTATTTCATTATTAAAGGTATATATGTTCTCTCTTATCTATTCAAGTCAGTTCCTTTGCCTGTGCGTGATTGATAATTGGCTTGAAATGATTTTTTCTTGTGTATATATAGAATATCTTCTGTGATAGAGTAGTGCTTGCTACCTGTTCGATGGATTGTTTGTGTGAAATCTTGTAATTTCCCCCAAAAATTAAAACTTGTTTTTTGCTTCAATTAATATTGGGCTCTTCGAGAACATGAATATTTTGGTTTGGAAGCTTATGGAGTGACATTTTCCGGATAAAAGCCAGTATTTTTAAGAATTAGTAGGAAGCATAAATTTAGTATCTGTCTGGAAGATAGAAATCGAAGCATTGAGATCATACTTTTTAGGAGGTGGAAATTTCTGGGCTTGTTTGGTTTGTTTTCATTCTTATACTGTGGACATAATAATTACATTAAGCAAATAACTTCTATAATAAAATAAATGACTATTTTAAGATAGCAGCATATCTGGTTAGGATTTTGAACTTTCCTAACCATGGACCTGAATTCCTTAAGAAGTGAGGTTTCTTAACACCTATAATGGGAACCGTTGTATGCCTTGAAAGAAAGGGGATACTTGATAAACCAAATCCTCTAGCACTGGAAAATAGCCTTAAGAACCAGCTCGGGATTTCACAAGATGGTGAAACCCCGAGCTAGTTCTTGACTCCATCTTTTCCGCTGCAAGAGGAATTGCTTTATCAAATATGCTTTTCTTTTGAAGTATATACTGGTTCTCATCTATGCTTTCAAAAATCTTAAATTCTTCAGGAATCAAGTGGAGAAAAGTCGAGCATTTTCTTCCATCTCCCCTTCATTTTGTCGTTTTCTAGGTTTCTTAGGATACTGCTTGCAGTACTTTCTAAGACAATACAATATCATTTTGTGCTGAGTTCGCTGAGAGAGTAACTACTGTTGCACAAGCATATTGTTGCAGATGACAGAAGTGCAAAGGTGGAGTATATTGAGTAGTTAACTGGAACAATATTAGAGTATTAAAGAGTCATGTCATTTTGAGGAGTAAGTAGAAGAGCAATAGTAACTTCAGCTTAGCCTGCTTGATTTTTGTTTTTGGAATCCACTGATTTAAAACTGACATCTGGAAGAACAAATTAATCTTAACATCTAAATAAGTAAATTTATAATTAACAACAAAGGGAAAAAAACTGTAAAACTAACAGCAATTGGTTTTCATAGACTTAAACCACCTTTTATGAGCAAAAATGAGATCCCAGAGTTAATTGTCCAAAGTTGGCATTCTCATTTCTTAGTTAAAGAGCTAAGATACTTAAAGGAGGAATAGGGCGCCAATTTTTATTTTTATTTGTTGGTTGAGAAAAGTAAGGTTCATTAGTTAATAGAGTAAGGTTCATTAGTTATTAGTTAACACCCAGAGAGTATTGCTGGTAAGCAAAATCGCAATAGTTAGTTAGGAGATAATGAAGTTAATCATGCATTAAAAATAGAATAACTTGCATTAATCAAATTATTTACAAAGTTGTCCTTCATTATTATGGTGGAAAAGATATAAAAAAAAGGTATTGAGGGGCAATTGAGTCTTTAGTTGAGTTAATATATGCATTAAAAACATTTCATTGCTAATACCTAGAAATCCATGGTATTAGCAATACACACCTTTAATGTACATCAGAGTAAGTTAGAAAAGAGTACCAAACAAGGTACTAGTCATAAATAAAATTAATACATGCATTGTATTTTTTAATACACTGTACCAAACAACCCCATGACGTGTATATATTAGCCCTTTTAACAAAGGTATATGTACTCTAATTGACAAAGTTAACGTCTTACTTGAAGCATATGGGCTGTTTAAGGAATATTTTATATATATATATATATTAATTTTTTTCAATTATATTTGATTATAATTATACTTTTACATTAAATTCGGCCGATCATCCCTTTGGTCTCCCACCACTGCTTTGCGAAATCAAGTATTCCTTCTTTTAGCCACAGTCCTCCTCCTAAATCCTTTGTGTATTGAATAGTTTTATGCGCTCATCATTTAGGTTGAGTTTGATATCTTTCTTGCTTATTTTGGTGATCGTTGAGCTATGAACACCACTTATGGGAGGGTAATACCGATAATTAGACGAACTGAACTTATGCACACCACCTATTCGATAAAAATCCTGATAGGGAAATGAGCTTTTTGGTTAAGTCTGAATAACCTAGTGTTAATCGGATATTTCATAGGAATAAACGTGGGGTCAGTTCACTTGAGCAGTAACTTGTAGCAACTGTGATTCATATTGCCATTTTACTTGAATAATTAATTACCTGCATGACGATTTTCCAGTCATTGAAGTTAGAATGATTGATGAGGAATTATGAATGAAGTAAATTTACTACTACACCATAATGTCAGTTCTTGATGGAATTCTCGAAACATTGAAGTCGTCATCCTTTATATATATAATTGTAATAATATTCTCGTATATTGTTTCAGAGTTGCATCAAGTTTGCTGGTGTTTATGGGCATAAGATGGCCAAGGATTCTAACACCGAAGCAGCTCTCGCAAATAATACTGAGCCAGAAGAACCCACTAAAAGCGCTTCAATGTTTTGACGAAGCAAAATGCAAGTATCCAACTTACCGTCATAATGGTCCTGTTTATAGCACTATGATTAATATTTTGGGCAGATCAGGGAGAATAACTGAGATGAAGCGAACAATTAATCAGATGAAAGAGGACTCGTGTGAGTGTCATGACTCAATATTTGTGAATGCCATTAGAAGCTATGCGCAAGCTGGATTAACAAACGAAGCCATTTTTCTTTTTAAGTCTCTTCCGGAGTTCAATTGTATAGAATGGACAAGATCTTTGAGTACTCTTTTGGAGATATTGGTAGAAGAATCTAAGCTAGAATCTGTTTATCAGTTGTTCCTTGAGAACTCTTGTGGATGGGAAGTGAAGTCTCGGGCACATTTCTTGAATTTGTTGATGAATGCTCTTTGTAGAATGAAACGCTCTGATCTTGCATTGCATATTTTCCAAGAGATGAGTTACCAGAACTGCTATCCAAACAAAGAGAGTTACAGGATCTTGATGAGGGGTTTATGTGAAGAAAAACGGCTCAATGAGGCTACTCATCTATTGTACTCAATGTTTTGGAGGATATCTCAGAAGGGAAGTGGTGAAGATGTGGTTGTCTATCGAGCTTTATTGGAAGCGTTGTGTGAAAATGAAGAAGGGGAGGAGGCCTTACAAATTCTTGGTAAGGTATTGCGAAAAGGACTAAAAGCTCCGAGAAGTTACTACAAGCAGATTGATCTTACTCAATGCCGGAATGGATCAGATACAGAAAATATGAAAGTTTTGATTAATGAAGCTTTGATAAAAGGCATAGTTCCCAGTTCAGATAGCTACAGAGCGATGGCTGTTGACTTTTACGCCGAAGGCAAGATTGATGAAGGTGACAAAGTGCTCAAGGAAATGCATGAGAGAGGCTTCAAACCGTCAGTGGCGATTTATGAAGCAAAGGTAGCTGCTCTTTTCAGGGATGGCCAGGTTGACGAGGCAATTATGGTCATTGATTGTGAGATGGTGCAAAAAAACTGTGTTCCGAATATTAGATTGTATAATGTAGTTATAAAAGGCTTATGCCATGAAAGAAAATCTACTTGTGCTATTAAGTATTTGGAAAGGATGTCTAGGCAAGTAGGTTGCGTGCCAAACTATGAAACTTATGGAACTTTGGTAGATGGGTTATGTGAAGATGGTAAATACGTTGAAGCAAGCAAGGTGATGGAGCAAATGTCAATTAATTCCTTTTGGCCTAGAGTTGGAACTTTGAATTCTCTTATCCGAGGTCTCTGCCAAGTAGGTGATTTGCACAGTGCAATTATGTGTTTGGAGGACATGATCTCTCTAGCCTTGACTCCAGATATCAATGTTTGGCAGTCATTATTAGGTGCAATCTGTTGTGAAAATGGATTGAATGAGGCTTCTTTCAAGACACTAGAGCAGCTACAGACACCTTAGCGTTGTCTATAACTACAACTGTATTGCTGGATTTCGCCCATTTTCTATTTGGTAATAAACCTTTTTTGCTTAACACTTCGAAGCCTGTCTTTTCTATTTTCCTTCTCGCTAACTCTGAATTCTAATTATCTGTCTTGATTCAGTTGGTAATATAACTACATGCTGATATTTTAACCTTAATATCTCTAAATGCCTTTTAGTGGCATTTAAGGGCATTACCATAGTTGTCGCTAATTAGTATGTTACAGCCAACTTGTCCCGGCAATTAAGCATTAGTTGGTAAAAATCATCTTTTTAGTGACATTTAAAAATGCCCAATAAAAGTCTCTGTCAAGTGAAAATCAACCTCTAATAATATCCCGGCAATTAAGCATAGCCTCCGATCTGAAGCCAGAGGCAAAATCTCATCTGAAAGCTAGATCTTCATAGCCCTCCGATCTGAAGCCTCTGATATCCTTCCATGGTACTCTCTCTGTCCCTCGGATCATACTCTCATCGAAACACCTCTTGGTGTTGAATATCAGTGAGGGAATTAAAAATTCTAGGGTTTGGATCTCTCTCCCCCTATTTTTTAGTTTCTAAAGCAATCGGAAGACATAACTCAACTAGTATGTGGATGGACAGTACATTGCCTCCGGTCTATATGATGGTCTGTTACTCAAACACTCCGATTGTTTCAATCAGGTTGGTTTGATTATCATTTTCATTCAGTTTTTGAAGTTTTTATCAATTGCGACATTGAGCTCTGTTTGGTTGAACGTTTAGGCGGTTACAATCTCCTACCGTTAAGTTCAATTTTAAGGTAATCTTCATTGATTTTTATACTCTGTTTTGTCCCATTGTTTGGATGGAAGTTTATGATTCTCCCACTGTTAAGTTCACTACTAGGTAATTTTTGTTGGTATATGGGAAAAAAGTTCAGGTGTGTCGGATTTGTTCGGTTTTCATTTGATTCAGTTCTGAAGAGTTAGGTGTTCTGTTATGCTCTGTTTGGTTGTATATTTAGCAATTTCACTACTATTAAGTTCAGTTTTAAGATGATATTCCTTGATTTTTCTTCTTTGTTTTATCTATTGCTGGATGGAAGTGCATACTTTTCTAGCTATCATGCTCAATTCTAGCAATTTTTCGTTGATTTATGAGCTCATTTTTTGCTAATTTTGAGTGATATTGCCGGGATGGTTTTTGTAAAAAATGATACATTTTGCTTTGATTTGTTTCGAGTGTTCTAGTCCACCATATGTAAAGTGTCTGCTTCTTTTTCTGGAGTTATGATCTAATAGCCAAAGAGGAAAATAACATCAAGAAGGAATTGATCTGTGCTATATTGAGGATTACATCAAATTAAAAGTAAGTCATTAATTTAAGCTGTAATAGAAATTGTCTAACTATATAGTTATGGTGAGCCACTGAGCATTGTGTAACTGATACATTGGTACAGTGGATACTCTCTCCCACTAGAAAGGTTGACGAACAATGATAATCACGAGGAAACTTCATGGCATTTGTAGCCTAACTTGAATAAGTTTCTTGGATTGGCTTGACCTTTTTGGAAGGAAGCTCGAGCTATTGCAAAAGCTTTTATCATGTATGCCCTTGATTTTCATATTTTCATGTACGACCTGTGTTTAGATGGAGATTGATCATACGTATTTCAAAACCTTGAGAATAAAACTGGATATAGAGTATGTGTAAATTTTATTCAAATGAATAAGTATAAAGGATAACCTTCGATATAGAAGGTCATATTTTCAAATTGAATGACAGGTACAATGACCCTCTTAAACACTTTCTGAACACACATTAGGTGTTTAGCAAATATCACAAAAGGAAAGAGACATTCTTTTTTATACGGACTAAAAGCGAATGTAAGACAAACAAATTGAAACGGAAGGAGTAAGTAATTTCTTTCATGTTAATGAACCTGTTATTATTGGGTATTAGGGGACAATCTCTTTCCCAGTAACTTGTTTTTAAGACATCCCCATAAATGTGAATTGATTTTAAGACACTATGGAAGCCACTACTTGTAGTTTATTTAGATCGATAAATACTCCTTGGAAATCTCTGTGAATTGTATGATTTTAGTACTAACTTCCGCTAAAGATTCCAAAAGCTTTTGAGATTACAACACCAAAATTTATTAGCCTATCTTGTTGCTTAGCTCATGAATTGGCAGAACTGCAGAAGGACTGAGTATCACTTGTTGCGAAAGATTCCAAATCTCCTACTAATTGTGAATAGAGGATGCAGATTAGTAGGCATAGCTTTTGGGTGAAGTAGTTGTATGGGCGGAATATATGCTGAATAGAAGGAAAATGATTAAATTTGAGGCCTGAGACAGGAAGAGGAAGAGATTGGGATCGAACATAATGAGCTTCAAAGCAGTTACTTTAGGTGACATTAATGATGTTAAACGGCTGATGTGGTACAGAAGCCTTTGAATAATTTTTTGAGGTGCAATTTACCAGTTGATAATGATTCTCTCTTTCTGTTTTGACATCAGAGGAACATGATCCGTGAGGCAACAACATTTTTGTTGGATGTTCCGAAACCTAACCTTCCAGAGAACAGTTTCCTGCAGACTAAGGTATCTGTTTCCTTCTCATTAAGCGACATCTTTCTGCTTATACATGTTACTTTGGCTGTAACTTTCTTGTATACAGGTCTTGGAAATCAACCTCGTGACTTCCCCAAATGTTGATGATGCTATATTAGCCAATGGTATGTTCACTCGTTATGATCAACCACGAATTGCTCAACTTTGTGAAAAGGTTGGTCTTTGATTCGGTCTTTGCAGGATTGACTGGTTTTCAGCATTTTTGAGCTTAACTTCCCATAAGATATGACCACAATATTGGTTAATTATGTATGTTTCTGCAGCACTACAGTGAACTATCTGATATCAATCGCGTAATTTTTTAATACACATGCCATTGAGCCTCAGGTCAGTATACTCCCGTGGTCGTATTGACTTACTGTTGAGGGTTGTCGGACGTGTATTTATCTACACTACACCAGATTTCAGAAAGTATGTTTCCCAAGTTTCTCAGAAAAGGCATAAAACTAAGTTGTTCAAAATAAGAAAAAGAAAAAGCTAATTCACCTGAAAAACAAATAGGAAGTCTTTGTTAGAAGATACTCACCCATTTAGATGTTGAAACTTATGAAGCAGAGACACCAAATTTAAGCTCACTGAGTCAAATCAGAACTTTTTAGGCCTTAAACACTAGCCTGTTTTCTTGTATTTTTGAAATTTTGGTTGTGTTGTCTCCGGACCATTTGTACACCAGGTTTCACCGTTGTTATGGGCGGCTACTTTGGGTTTCCCCCCCTCTCTCTCCCTTGTTGTTCTGCTTGTCCAAGACTCTGCTCTATCTGAATATGATAGATATTTGGACATTTAAAATTACATATACTTCCTTTTTACAGAGATATGAATCATAGAACTCTCTCAATCCCTTTTCATTTTAAGAAAGTAATTGAGCTTTCAAAGAAAATTATGGTGCAGTGGTCAGGTTCATGTCCTGATGAAAAAATTGTTGGTAGGGAGCCTTCCCCCCAAATGGAGTCAGTCCTACACAATGCAAATCCAGATTGGTCGGGTTCAAAAGTGGGTACTAGACACTGGATGGGAAATCAAAATAAAAAGAAGAGAAGTAGTGAACATAACTGCTCACACTTAGCTTTGATGGGGGCATTTTCTCAAGATCGACTACATGATTTCATTACAGAGTTCTAATTCAGAGAGATGAATCTTCAAATAGTGGCAAAAATCAAATCGATCTATCTATCTATCTATCTTTTCTTGTTGGATGTATATTGACAAGAATATTAGATTTGTACTAGATCATGAACATGTTGTCCATTGTTTTGAGAGACTTTGTAAATGCTTCTCTATATTTTCATTTCTTTTAACCTCAAAGCAATAAGATATTCTTGTCAATGATTTCATTTTCATGTCGGAATTGATGCTGCTAAATCAGTTTTCTCTGCTTCATGATGTTCTAAGTCGCGCATTTTCTTCTAGATGTTTAATATCATCGATAAACTTTACTTAAAACTCTTTCAAGTCAACATGCTGATGGATTATGAAAAAAGAGAAACAAGTAACTTAATGTAACAATGGAGGGTATCTAATGTGGGTATCGGACGCCGGGTGAAAACCAAAAAAAAAAAAAATTCAAACCCTCACACATGGGCTTAGGATGAGATGAGACAATATTTTAAAAACTTCTAAAGAACAAGTCATTATAATATCACTAAACGTCATCTTCTCTTTGATATTTATAAAAATGAAAATGATAAAGCATGTAATTTTATTATTTTTGCACATCAATCAAATAGATGCATGTGAATTTCTTTTGGCATAATACGTAAAGATGATTATTAATTTGGCTTCGACGGATAATTATGCTTTCTGACTTTGATCGTAAACTAGTTAATTATAAAATTGAACAAGTATGTACACATGTCCTACATGACATAATACACGTAGGATAAAAAAGTTTCATGTAGAGTGTCATGTAGGACGAATCTGTCTATTTGTTCAAATTTACTAAGTTAAAGAATGTATCATTTCTTTTTGATATGTTAAAACCAATGCATATGAAATAAAGAGAGCATGTTTTAATTGGGATGATACATAAAATTCCCAAATTTGCTCAAGTCTATGATTAGAGGTGGACATAAATATGAAGAATTGAACGGCATCAAAGAAGTTCATTCTTTGGTTCGATTTCATTTTTTCTAATTAAATTTAGTTTTTGAGCACGTGTTTGCACGTGTATTTCATGTGAATTTTTTATAGATATGTTAGAAGGAGTAAAATTTCATGGTATATATGTAAATTGTAATGAATAATAAAATATAACAATTACAAAATAAGAATAAAGACTTGCGACAATAAAACATTCCTAGAAAACTAAATTAAGAAGTCTAATAGAGAAAAAAAAAAGACAAAAAGAAACAAATTTAAGAAAAAATATAGTGTAGACATTATTCTTATAAGACTGATGTATATATTAGATGAAAAAAAACTACAAAATTAGTACATAACAAAGAGTTCTTATCGACTCCTTTCATATCCTATCAAAATTCAAGAGTCTTCTTCATCTACTTTAACTATAGAACAAAAATAATGACCTAATAATCTTGGTAGGGGTTTTATGAAATATAAAGAAGTTGAATTTATATAGATAGAATAGAAGGAATATCAAAAGATATCTTAAAATTTTAGTTTAAATATTTGGAGATTATGAATATTAAAAGATGAGAGTTATGAATACTAAGAGTATAAAAGTTGAATAAGTAATTAGAAAATAATAATAAATAAATGAAGAATATGAAAAAGAAAATTAAAGTAAGCAAATCATGTAGAAAGAACAACTAAAGTTCTTATCACATAATTAAGCATCAATGAATTTAAATTTGTGAAGTTCACGTCATTCTTTAATAATAATCAAAGGGCCTCATTTTTGCAGATTTGCACCCTTTAAATTATTAAATTTCGTAAATTATCATAAAGGATAATACTTTATCCACATAAATTATATAATTCATGAGAGGGGTTAAGGAAAAAGTTATGAGAAGAGGAAAAGTACATCAATTTAGGTAGAAACTTTTTTTAAAAAAGAAAAAATTATAATTATTATATACATATAAATTATAGATGAATATTAATAAATTAGATATTTAATTAGAAATTAATCTTAGGAAATCTAAAAATCATTAACATTTTAATCAAAATTTATACAATTAAATACTAAAACATTGTATAACAATTTAATTTATAGAAGGGGTAAAATCGTAATTCAACTTTCAACTTTTTTTGTTTATACTTTTAGTAATATATGATGATATGATAAAGAAAAACAATCTAATTAGACAAATATCATACCATAAATACAACAATTATTCTATAGTTTGACATAATAATATAGTCTCACTTATTAATAATTTTGTACCAGATTTTAAGTCATATACACCACTTCATTAGATTTCAGGCTAAATTAAAGATACTAGATACATATATCTTTGATACTAGATATATTAAGAAATACATATGCATTTGTACTGAGGCAAGGAGATTGATATGGTGTGTCGGAATTAAATTACACCTAACCTGATCCACATGTATCTAGTGAAGTGAATGTGGTAGTGAAGACACATAATTAGGTCCTAAACTAGTGAGATTTGTGTTGTTTTCTCTTTAAAAATATTGGGTAATTTATAGAAATCCCACTAATTTATGAGTTAATTTACACACTAGTTTGCAATATTACACAACTTGTCATTTCTTGGTGCATTGAGATATGACGAGATACATGCATCTCGAGATATGTAGGATAAAAATTAGGCGTAATTTATTCTAGACACATTGCATTCATGTGGATTCACATGTATTAAGGATACATAGATAGATCTCGCTCGCTAACGTATCCCAAATACATGTGAATCACACCAGATACATATTTAGTGTGTATCTAGTGTGATTCATGCGTATATTAGATATATAGACGAATCTCACTCACATTCCTCGTGTTCTCGTTCACCTCCCTATTTCAGTGTGTTTGGTAGCAAAAAGAATTACAAAATTTTTAGTTCGAGAGATACTATAGGGATAATTAATAAATACGACATGAATCTTTGTGTAATTAGTTTTTTTCCGTGTAATTAGGTAGTTTCTCCTTTAAGAAAAGAATATTGATATTCGATTTGATTCCCATTTTAGGTCCCTTATGAATTAAAGGCCCAAAAGCTAGTAATAAGGCCCAATCCATTAACCCAAGCCCATCCGTTTATTTCCCAAGAGAATGAGGGCTGAGGGTTGATACTTCTGAGTGAGAGACACTGAGGCTGAGCACCACCACAAGCAACTAGCGGCGACCGGCGACCGGCGACGGAGATTCCATTCTCTCATTATTAAAGGTATATATTTTATCTCTTATCTCTTCAAGCCAGTTCCTTTGCGTGTGCGTGATCAATAGTTGGCTTGAAATGATTTTTTTCTTGCGTATATATAGAATTTCTTCTGTGATAGAGTAGTGCTTGCTACCTGTTCGATGGATTGTTTGTGTGAAATCTTGTAATTTCCCCCAAAAATTAGAACTTGTGTTTTGCTTCAATTGATGTTGGGCTCCTCGGTAGCATTAATATTTTGGTTTGGAAGCTTATGGAGTGACATTTGGCGGAGAAAATCCTGAATTTATAAGAATTAGTAGGAAGCATACATTTACTATCTGTCTGGAAGACAGAAATTGAAGCATTGAGATGATATTTTTTAGGAGGTGGAAATTTCTGGGCTTGTTTGGTTTGATTTCATTCTTATACGGTGGACATAATAATTACATTAAGCAAATAACTTCTATAATAAAATTATTGAATATTATGAAGATAGCAGCATATCTGGTTAGGATTTTGAACTTTTCTGACCATGGATCAGAATTCCTAAAGAAGTGAGGTTTCTTAACTCCTATAATGGGAACCGTTGTATGCCTTCAAAGAAAGGGATACTTGATTAACCAAATCCTCTAGCACTGGAAAATAGAATGAAGAACCAGTTCGGGATTTCACAAGATGGTGAAACTCCGAGCTAATTCTTGACTCCATTTTTTCCTCCGCAAGAGGAATTGGTTTATCACATATGCTTTTCTTTTGAAGTATAAAGTGGTTCTCATCTATGCGTCAAAAATCTTAAATTCTTCCGGAATCAAGTGGAGAAAAGGAGAGCATTTTCTTCCATCTCCCCTTCATTTTGTCATTTTCTAGGTTTCTTAGGATATTGTTTGCAGTACTTTCTAAGAAATACAGATCATTTTGTGCTGAGTCCACTGAGAGAGTAACTACTGTTGCACAAGCATATTGTTGCAGATGACAAAAGTGCAAAGGTGGATTATATTGAGTAGTTAACTGGAACAATATTAGAATATTGAAGAGTCATGTAATTATGAGGAGTAAGTAGAAGAGCAATAGTAACTGCAGCTTAACCTGCTTGATTTTTGTTTTTGGAATCCACTGATTTCAAAATGACATTAGGAACATATTAATCTTAACATCTAAATAAATAAATTTAGAATCAACAACAAAGGGAAAAAAACTGTAAAATTAACAGCAATTTGTTTTCATAGACTTAAACCCACCTTTTATGAGCAAAAATGAGATTCCAGAGTTAATTGTCCAAACTTGGCATTCTCATTTCTTAGTTAAAGAGCTAAGATACTTAAAGGAGGAATAGGGCGCCAATTCTTTTTTATTTTTTTGGGTTGAGAAAGTAAGGTTCATTAGTTAATAGTTAACACCCAGAGAGTGTTGCAGGTAAGCAAAATGGCAATAGTTAGTTAGGAGATAATGAAGTTAATCATGCTGTCCAAGTCAGTTATAGCTTTTAAATTGCTTCAAACAGACAAAAGATAGAGACACATGTTTCAGATGATGCAAGGATCTCCTCTTTCCTTCGAAGAATATGTTTCTAGTTCTTGGTCTATCTAATCAAGTTCAAAACTGGTTAAGAGATCTATGTCCAACAGGGTTGGGCTCATCATCCCAAACTGAAAATGAAAAGAAGTGGCAGTGAAAGGCCAAATTCTTTTTTTCATCAATTGTAGTATCTATGCGGCAATCCTTTTAGATTTACTATCCTTTTTCTATTATACAAAATGAGGTTTTAACCCACTTCAAAAGATCCCTTAAGATCATTAATATGATGAGTTTTCTTACAACCAAGAAACAAAAATATAACCGTTTATAGATATTGAAATGAATGCCTTCCATCATAAAAATGATGAGTTTTCTGACAATCAAGAAATAAAAATAATGATAATGAGTTTCTATTGGTAATTTCTTTTTCCCAGTCATAGTATATGACATTATCGATCTTAATCTAAGGAATCCATCCCTAACGAGCTAGGTTGTCAAAATTGTTTTTGGTTATTTCATAGAATATGTAGAACAAAAAGAAGAGTCAAGAGTAACAACTTTCCCCATTATGCAAGCATTGGCCTGATCCTGTTTACCGGTTTGTGATCAGAGGCGGATCTATATGTGGGGGCACAGGCTCACGTGCACTCATGCTTCCCACAGTAGACCATGTCTAGTAATACTATATCTTTTCAAAAGTACTAAAATAGTTATGAGTTATGACTTACATGTACACCCTAGCTCAAAGACTCATTTGGTGTCAATGGTTATCGAGGATACGTATATTTGTGAGGTTCAGGTTCAAATCTCACGGTTATATATATATATATATATATATATATATATATATATATAATGTATGTATGTATAAAAATACCAAAATTTTAAAAATTAAATAATTTTGCACCCGTCTTCATGAAATCCTAAATCTGCCCTTCCCACTCTGTACCTTGCTGGACAAGCTTACGTGCTCCCTTCATGTTGTTTTCTATCCACATTTGCCTTAATCTCAGACTCATCTTCTCCTACTATGTTGTCCACATAATTGTAAAAGGTAATAAATGGGACATTACCTCTCTAGATCTGATATGGGACATTATTTTTCAAATATGTTTAAGAGGAGCTTGCACTGTGGTCAATAAAGCTTGAGAGCCATGAGGTTTCAAGTAACACTTGGTGATTTCCTTAAATCTATCCAAGCTTTGATAGACAGAGTTACCCGATACTTGTGTTGGTGGGAGGTAGCAGGTACCATGTTGGGATTAGTCGAGGTGCGCAGGAGTCTGGCTAAAAAGAATTCCCCTTGGTCAATGAAAGTAAAGGATAAAAGCAAGTCACCTTAAATGATCTGTCAAGTTGTAGTAGATCTTGCTTGTTACTTGGTTTGTCACTGAGCTCTATGAAGCCATCATATAGAAGGTTGTTTAGCTATCTGTTACAAGTAATACTAATTAGCTCCAGGGTGAGAATCAAAACTGCATTTCTCGAAGATGAGAAGTACTTCCTGAATATTGAGAGCTTTATCTGAGAGATATTTTCTTATTTCATTAGCCTCCTTGATGATATTTCTTTTGATATATCTTTATATTCTCTAGCAGAAATGGTGATTCCTCCACCAGTTAGACCAGACAGAGTGCTGAAGTATCTCAAACCTTACGTGCTGAGGATGCATTTCACAAACAAGTATGTAAATGCTCAAGTAGTTCACACGCCAACAGCAACAGTGGCTGCTTCTGCAAGCTCACAAGAGAAAGGCTTAAGGCTTGCCATGGTAGAATCAAAAGAAAATACTAGAGACGTTGCTGCTGCAGCAAAAATAGGTAAGTTGTTGGGAGAGCGGTTGCAGGCTAAAGGAGTTCCTGCTGTATCTGTTTTCTTTAAGAAAGAACAAAGATACCATGGAAAGGTCAAAGCAGTTATCGATTCAGTCCGAGAAGCAGGCATAGAACTGGTTTGATTGGATTCCCTTTTATTAGTCTGCTTGGACAATTTGCTTGCCTCAGTTCTTGCAATGTATAAGATGTCACTTCTGATATTTCCTGTGTTTTGAGGCTTCTATTCCAAGAACAAGGTTCATAACCTCGTCGCCCCCCACACGCTACATATTTTTCGTAGCAAGAGTTGCATGATACTTGTGAATTTTATTCATCATTTGGTTGAAAGTTCATTAAAAGCCTTCAAAAATCTGAATTTGATTACTTGTACTCCTGGAGTATTAAATAAAAGATGTTATGCTATTTGACATTTTAAAAAGCTTTTTGTGGCCTTAAATACACTTTGCATAGCTTATAATGAACAAGGGTGGGTTTAACTACCTCAAGGGTTCGTGGGTACCAGGCAAAAAAAGAAGAAGAAAAAACACTTGAAAGATGAAGTTGAGAGATAATGTATGAAATTATAAAAATGCAAGACTTAAGGAGAAATGTTAATTCATTATTTTACCCAAATTTGATTAGCAATATACTACCTCCGTCTCATTTTATATGTCACATTTCGAATTTTAAGAGTCAAACAAGTTTCTATCCTTGACCATAAATTTTTCATAGATCTTTTAAACATTTTGAATTATCAATTATTGAGATTTGTAGTACTTTTTACTTAGTTTACAAATATATAAATTTCGTTTCAACAAATTGAAAATTTCATGCGAAAATTTTTGGTCAAATTTAAACTATTTGACTCTCAAAACATAAAATGTGTCATATAAATTGAGACAAGGAGAGTACAATTTTAAAGGCTATAATCAAAATTATCTAATCACCTAGAGAAAAATAAAACCTTACCAATTTTTCATGTTCATTTGGTATGATAATTAATATTGCTACTCCTAAAATTTTGTTGGGAGTGTCACCCCCGAATGGACCTTATATGCACGACTATAATTCAGTCGGAACTTCAATGTGAGCTCAAGATACCAGATGAGAAATCGAAAAAAAGATATTACTCCCTTTATCCTGGTCTTACTTTTTTTTTTAGTCTGTCCTATAAAATACATATACATATATTTTTATGTATATATATTTGGTAAAATTCCAATTTCATTATTTTACGAGGTGATTTTAAAGTTACAAGATTTAAAGACACATTTAATTAAGATTAGAGAATGTAAAAGTCTATCATCATTTTTTGAAAGAATATTGAAAGCACTTGTGAATTTAATGCAACTTGTTTCGCTCTCAAACTATTGACAACTTTAAAAACACCTATCTACTTGACTAACTAAGATACATCTCATACACCCTCGAACTGTTGTATGACATAACAAATGGCTCAAACTCTTATAAGAGCATGTAATAATAAGTCTAGAGAACTAAGAAGTGTTCGAAACATTCCTAAACTTGACTATGATTTGGGAGTGTATTTCTCTCATATTACAAAATCGGAGATGTATTGAAATTTAGTTAGTCAAGCAAATGATTGTTTGTAAGGTTGTTAATAGTTCAGAAATCAGGACCAAGAGAGTAATATCTTTGCAACTAAGAATCAAAACCAAACCAAACCACTTTAATCATTTTTAGATTATCAAAAAAGCAAACCAAATCAAATACAATATACATTTATCGATTTTGTTGTTAAGGATTAGTTCTGTTATTGACCATAACAAAAAATCAAAAAATGATTTCATTTAAAAGATATGAAAAAGAAAATAATTAAAATGACTAACATTAAAGAACTTTAGAACATTAAATTTAGTGTGAATAAAGCTTTTGAATTCTCCATTTTGACTTAGACGAAAGAGACAGTGACATTCCTAGTCTCACCAAGAATTACGATCGACACTTATATATATAAATCAATAAGATAAATGTTCTCGTTTGAATATTTTTGTTTAATAAATATAGGAAAAAAGGATAAATATACTCCTAAGCTATCATAAATGGTATGTAAATACCCTACGTCATACTTTTAGGACATTGATGCCTCCGTCGTCCATAAATTAGAGTATATATACCCTTTATACTAACAGACATGCACGCGTTATAATCTCATAAATCGACCTGACATTTATTAAATATCGAATTGAAAGATAAGATTATGTTACATGTCCTTATTTAATTTTTCTAAGAGTAAAGGACATATATACTCTAATTTTTTACGGCAAGGGCACCAATGTCACAAAAGTATGACGGAGAAAATCTACTTACCATTTACGATAGTTTTGAAAAATATTTATCCTTTTTTCCCATATATAAAAATTATAAATAAAAATTAATGAAATCATATATAAGATATTTAAAGTTGTTTTTAAAAAATAATATATTATGCATTATAATAATAAAATATAAATATATGATTTATCGATTCAATTATTTCTTCGAATTTATTTTCTTAAATAAATTCAAAGCCAAATTAAATACTATCTGTTTCTATATATCCAAAATCAAACCAAATTAAAGCCCCAATAAAATGTAATCATTTATTGATTTTTCAATATGAATTGATTTTTATCCAAATCGTTAACCAACAAAAAATAAAAATAAAAAAACAACTTATGGAAACCCAAACTTTTAACTAATTCGGAATTGCAATTCTAGGGTTCAATAACATTTGACTTCTTCTGCCCAGTTATAGCCAACCTACTCCATTCGCCATTGTTGATGTTTTGCTGCACTCTGTTTTCAGCTGAAACAGAGTATAAAACAGAAACCCATCTTCCAAATCCTCCATAGCCATTGAAAAATCTTCAGAAAACTATGTGGAGGATTTTTCATGGAAGAATCACAAGATGTATTGAACAAGCTACATTTCACAGACATTACTTCAATTCTCATCTTCCACAGAACAATCTAATCTTGGTTCAAGAACTCACTGAAATTCTCAAAAACAAGAAATGGAAAAGCCTCATTAAACTTGCAAGCTTAAAAAATAAGCTAAACCCGTATGTGGTTCGGTCTGTTCTTCATCAAGATCAATTGAGTAATCATCTTGAACGCCTCCTCAGTTTCTTTCAATGGTCAAAACACAAAGTGGGCATTGAATCAGATTTGGAAATTCACTCATTTTTAGCTGCTCGTTTATGTAGTAACAATTTGTATAGTCCTGCTAATTCTGTTCTTGAAAATGTAATCAGGTTTGGTTTGCCCCCTTTGGAAGTTTTGAAATTTTTTTATAATTGTCGTAAAAAGTTTGATGAATCGAGAAAATTTGATCATGTCGTATTTGGGTTGTTGATGGATAAGTATAGGGAGAAAGGGTATTTGTTTGAAGCTGCTAGTGTTGTTTTTGCTCATAGTAATGATCTTGATTGTATCCCTAGCTTGTTGTATTGTAATAGTTTGTAAACGGATCTGTTGAAAGATGGTAACTTTAGATTGTTTTGGCGAGTTTGTGATGCAATGCGTGAAGCAAATGTTACGTTTAATGCCCTTACGTATACTAGTATGGCGGATGCTCATTTTAGAGAGGGGAATGTTAGTGATGCCAAGGAAGTATTGGCTGAGATGGAAGAGAAGGGTCTTTGTTCAAGTAATTTTACCTACAAGTTTTTGATGAAGGGTTTGTTTAGAGCTGGGTATGTGGATGAGGCAATTGAGGTTAAAAAAAGTATGTTTGCCAAGTCGTTAGTCCCTAATCGATATTTTTATGCCACATTTATTGATGGGCTTTGTGCTGCCAATAGATTTAGAGAGGCAATAATGGTATTAGCTGAGATGTCTGAGATGGGAGTGAAGCCTGATGCAAAGGTTTATGAAGCTTTACTTGATTGTTACTTGAGACATGATGATGTGGATGAGGCTTTTAAAATTAAGGATGCTAAAGGCATCACTTTAGCCCTGTGCAATACGCTTCTTCGTGTGCTCTGCAAGTGTGGTAAGATGGAGAAGGCAAATGAACTTGTGGATGAGATGACTAGAAAAGGTATCAAGCCTGGTTCGACAACTTATGCCTTGTTGATTGAGGGACATTGTCAATGGGATAATGTTGCCACTGCCTTGGAGCTTCTTGAAGAAATGAAGAAGAAAAATCTGGCCTCTGTTGAGTCAACCTATTGTATGATAACTGATTGTCTCTGCCGCAATAAGGATCCAAACACGGCTATGTCTTCTCTTCCAAACTTGATAATGAAGAAAGGGAAGCGAAATGCTCATACGTGGAGAACTTTATTGATGAATTATCCTGGTAAAGGTCACTTACTGAAGTTGAGGGGGGTTGTGGAGGCAATGCATAAGCATGGTATTGTGCCATCTACTTCCCATTACAATATTCTTATAAAGGGACTCTGCGAGACGCGGAAGATGAAAGCTGCTCAAAGTTGCTTGGTTGAAATGGTGGATAAAGGCCTAAACCCTGACCAGGGTACTTATGAACCCTTTATTATTGGATATTGTCGAAAAGGGCAGTTGCAAAATGCGGAAAGATATTTATTGCAGATGCTGCATCATGGGTTTAAGCCCACAGAAGAAGTTTATAGTGCTTTGATTAGTGCGAACTGTAAAAGTGGTTAGGTAAGCAAAGTCTTTGGTGTATTTTGAAGTATGCATGCAAGTGTGGGAGGCTTATCTTGTCCTCCTTCGTGGTCTATTGGTGAATGGAAAAATGCTAAAAGCAGCTGAAGTTATTTCAGAACTTCATGGCAAGGATCTGGTCCGCTGATGTTTCATACTAAGAAGCTCTCATATCCATTTACCCTTTACAAGGAATCGCACAACTGAGGTATTCATCCAAACTTACTATACTCGCAATCACTTGATTGTTGGGCTGCTTAATGCAGGTCAAACTGAGAGATCTAAAATGATATACAATATCATCTTAAAAGAAGGTTTTGGGACCAAATATTTCCACATACACTACCATGATATTTGGAAGGCTGCTAGATACTGACAATAGATAGATTAATCATGAGAAACTGATTCATTAATGTCTGTAAAGAAGTTCGCATGGGCTTGGTCCCTCTTAAGGAGGATCTACAAATTGCTGCCCTCCTTTATTCATATGATGATATGATAAAGCAAGTTTATTGAAGCAAACACTTGAACTTTGTCATTCCATTGGTTTTTATCTTGTCAAATTTCTGCTTTGTTCAGATTCTTTACCTTCTAATAAGCTGTTGCTGCATTTCTACTCAGAATCAGTGCTGCACTTATATTGTCTTTTTCATTGTGTGGGACATTCTCCTCCATTATAGGTTCTAGTAGTGTACCTTAGGTTTTATGAAGGAATTTCGTATGAGTAGGATCATGGTTCAATTTTCTGTACATGAAATTTTGCAAGTCTATTTATTCAGAGCGTTCAACATCTTCTGGTATTGCAAAAGGTCATTTTGTATTAACCATATCAAGTTTTTGTTGCCATTTCTGTGCATCAGTGCAAAGTGGCATCCTTGAAAACTTTAGCTGTTTGATCTATTAATCTTCACATCCCCCTACCCAACCTACACTAACTTAAAAATAGAAAAAACATACATTGGGATCATTGAGTAATTCAGGAGAGAGAGAGCGAGAGTAATTGGCAATATACTTATATACATGCATTTCTTAATTTGAAGCATAAATTTTATTGCTATACAAAAATATGAACATAGTTACAAATATGAGGAACATGATTATCTCCTTTCCCAAATCAATTTTTGGTACAAGTACCTATGCTTGCACCACATAATAAAAATGGTTCCTAAATATTGCAAGAGGTCACATTTCACCTCCTCTCTCACCCACAAAAAAATAAAATAAAATAAAAAAGTGAAAATGAAGCCAAAAAAAAAAATGGTGGGGGAGAAGGGAATGTATAATGGCTTAAATCATTTTCTCAAATTTATCAAGTTTTTTCACTCTTTGCATGGACCTAATCAAGAGAGTCAGGAAAACACCTGCATACAGAAAGATAAGGTCAATTTTGGCAGCAAAAACAAGTGCAATTCAAATTCATCAAACCTGAAGATAGTCCTGAAAAATTCACCTGCACCAATAAAAGATCCATTTGCAAACATTTGACTGCCCTGACTGGTAAAAGTGACACCAAGGTTTAGGAGGGTGCCCCCTATGACTGTGTACATGGTTGCCATTTGAAGAATTGTAGCTTTTCGAGCTGCTCTCTCAGACTTAAGAAGATCACAATTTCAAGAAGTATTGGAAAGTGAGAAATGATTTGTATAAGAAATTTTACGAGAAGTATTAGAAAGTGAGAAATGATCTGTATGAGACTAATTACCTCGAGGACCCGAACTCTGAGTTTCAGATCTCCGGACTCAAGCTGTTTAACGATCTCTTCTATCTGCTGGACTCTGTAAGGCATGGAAATGGTGGATGTCCGTGCCTGGCAGTATTCCACATTAGATGGTATATACATCAGTTATGCTTATTTGATCGTATCTTAAAACAAGAAATTGTTAAGCAAAGGTTTAATAGGGTACATCATTAGCCTGTTTCCTTATTTCCTGAACAAGTTGTGGACCACTGCGCTGCTGCTGTCTCAAGTCCAAGAGCTCCTGCAGGGCAGATTGAATAATTTTGGAGCATTAGAGGCTAAGATTTGATTGTCAGACGGGTTAGTTGTTTGACAATCTTTCAACCTGTGCATATGGTGCTGCAATCTTAGGGAAGGAGAAATTAGGATCCAATATATAGCCAATCCCTGCAAGAATGCAACAGGAGATGGAAACATTCAGTTCCGTGATCTGTAAGTGGATTTAACATCTAGCCACAAAAATGCGAACTGACAAAAAGGGAAATAATCTCAAGAGTCTAGACTGTTTAAAGTCAAGGATCTTAACAATTATATTTAACTAATGGATGTTGCCTTGCTTTTCAGAATGAGAGAGAGGGGGAGGGAAAAAGAGAGAGAGATCGCACCTTCTAGTGTGGAAAATGCCCTGAGCACAAATGTAAAAGTGGAAGGGAAACGGAATGGTTGATCAGTTGCTATAGCAAACAAATCCTGCATTGTCTTCCTCTTGTTACATTGTGAAACACGCAAAGATAGTTTGAAGTGAAACTAACTTTCTACTTCTTGAAATTATAGTATTGTAACTACAGTGCAATTCCATACACATTTGATTTTAAAAAATGGAATATGTCAGTCTAATTTCCGAAATCAATTTCAAAATTGTGATAGACTTCCCAAAAGATAGGATCTTGGCAAGGTGAGTTTCAAGAAAACATGGCAGCAATGAGAAACTACAGCCAATCTTCATAAATGCCTCTTTAAACGAGTGGATCATACAAATATTTGAACCAAATATAGTCCATCGTATATTTATTATCTTCAATATACTAAAGGATACCAAAATTCTAATAAATTTGGCTATTATTTTTATAGAAAGTTGCAAATTCTGCATACCTCACCAATTGCAGCCAAAGTTTGCTGCTGATCTGGTCTTTGGTTCAACAAGTTGTCCAAGAAAAACTGAACAGATCTCCTCACCTAAGAAGAACAAAAGGTTATTAGGAGTTTCAATAGATAGCTACTCTTAGATAAGGCCTTAAATTCATTAGTGATTTTCTTCCTTTTCTTTGCAGGGTTTTGAGGTCAGGGTATGTAACATACAGCTGACATGTCTCCTGTGGGCTGAAGTGCTTCAAGATCAATAAGCCCTTGCATAACCTGTGTACACATAATATTTCTCTTATTAATATACACAGAATTAGCTCTCTCTACTCCAAAATATTTTAATGCAAAGCACAATAATGCTTCTGGCCACCAGATACAAAGAGATGGATTCAATTGTTTCTTCTGAGTTTTAAATGCCGCAACAATGATAACAAGTGGAAGGGGAATTTACAATCAATATTTGTCTTGCTTTGAGGCAGGTGACAGGTGGTAAATGCAAGTGGAGCATGAGGAAAAAGGTTGATTGTCTTATAAGATTTGCTCTCCAAGAGAGTCAAAAGCTGAAAGTAACTAGCTAGAGTAAGTCGAATACATCTAATCACTTCTATATCATCCTTCACTGCACAACTTACCCTAAATACAACAACTTTATGAATCTCTCTTGCATTGTAAGTACATTACTGAGAATCTTTTTGATAAATTAAAATTATTTCAGAGAATTACAATATTGTCAATTGTTGAAAATGGAAGGAGAATGTTTTCTACTTGAGATGACACAATCACACAAAAGTATTTATTTTGGGTTTTGCTTAGAAAGAATTTTGACCTCAAATGTTTAGTTGATCATTAATTACATTTGGACCAAGTTATGGCCTATGGCTATGTTAAACCTGAAAGAATGAAGAACCTAAGCATACCTCTTGATGGAGACAGCAGGATAACAACACACTCAGAAAAAATAAAGAATTTCAATAAATATGAAGAAAATAGTGTGTATTGGGACCATAACGGTAGCAGGTATATTTGCACCAGCTTGTACTAAGACTACTGTAGCACAACGCATTTGGTTCCTAATTGTGCTACTACAAACTACAAAAAAGAAACACTAGCCTGACCTTTTTTGCATCCTTTTCGTAGACAGAATAAAAAAGTCCCAGCAACCTCTCTCTTGTGAAATTCTTGATGTCTCCCATCATACCAAAATCATAATAGATTAAAGCTTCGTCAACATCAATTGCAAGATTCCCTGGATGTGGATCAGCATGGAAAAAACCAGTCCTCAGTATCTGCACAAGGTAATGCCAGGAAAAGAGTATCAGACACAAAGGAATAACATCTAACCCAGCTGATTAGCATCTATCCAAAAGATTTCAAAATGAGTGCAAAATTAACTAACTCACCTGAATTAAATAGGCTTCTATGGCGTGAGATGCGATTCGGGATCGGCTATAACCCCGCGAATCTATCATATCCAACTGGTTGATCTTTATTCCTGTTCATTAAGGTAATGGAATCTTAAGCAAGATAAATAGAATGAAAGTATTTATTGAAAAAAAAAGGAGCAGGAACAAAGCAAAGAGAGAAACCTGGAACGTATTCCAGAGTCAAAACCTTTGTTGCTGTATAGTCCCAGTACACCAACTACATTGGGGAAGGAAAATAAATAAATTAATAAGGTTTTCGATAGTAGTAAAAGAACCTGTTGAATTTCTTTTACCAGAATAAGAAGTGAATCAGCCATGATATGCACTAATTATTTCTACTTGGATCCTACTCCATAAAACTTGCTTTTATCCACATGTAGCTCTTATTAGCATTTGCTTTTCCCCCCACACACACAACTGGACACACACACACACAAAATGAAGATGAAATAAGGGCTAACTGATTAACGGCTAATGTAAACAACAACATAAAGGAAAATCAAAAGAAGAAACAATATATGGTTTGGGTTGGAACTCGGAAGGAAACATACAGGCACTCGGACCCACTTTATGTTCCGAAAGTCCCGACGAAATCTATCAGCATTCTTCCCCTCATTTATATAATCAATTTCCTCATACAATATCCTGAAATTTTCATAAAGACAAAGTTTAGCAGATTGAAATATATTCTACTCATCTCTTATTTATCAGAAGGTTGCGGTTTAGACATTGTTTAGCATTGCATAAAATTATCTCTTAACCAAATGGTGATTTTGAAGACTGAATAAGCAATAAGCTTATGAGAGACAATACTGGAAATAAGCAGCTCTAACTAAGAATCAAAGTCTGACAGATAACAGAATGTTGTATCGTGCAAACTTTCATCCTATAGCTAATTTATACCTTCTCCTGAAACTTCTTTTCTAAAACTTCCTCTCCTTTTACATGGGGGGGAAGGGATGGAGTCAGGAATGTCAATCTAATCGGAAACTTCACCATGGTTCTCAGTGAAAGCAAGAAAATACACATTTAGCATTTTCTAATCAATAAAATTTATAAAATTTGTAACTAGTAGAAATATGATCTTTATATGCAAAAAAAAAAAAATGAAAGAAAAAGAAGCAGATATCTTGAAAATCTAGGACTCCAAGTAGCAAGTATGCTGTAAGGCTTCTATTTTATAAGTACATAAGACACATAATTGCACAAGAAGAAAGAAGATGAATAAAGTTCAAGTGCTCGCATACAATCACCATAGAGTCTATCTCTACATATGAACAAGAAACTAAAGTATCATCCCCTCATCTATTTGTTGGTATTAAGCTTATCATATAACTGAGAATTGAATTAAGAATTAGCTAATACTTTTTCCGCAAATATGCAATTGAATTGAAGCGGTAGATTGATATAAAACTTAAGAACTACATCAAGTATCTGGACAGATAATTAGTTGAAATCAATGATAAAGTTAACTTCTCAAATTATTGTGCTTATTTACCACTTCGTAAACACTAGAGACTCTCTGTTTCTATTTTCCATGATGTTTAGGATTTTTTAAAATATTCTATGTGATTAAATCAACCGTGAACTACCATACATGATTTGAAATATAAAAAAAGGAGGGCAGATGAGTTTGGAGGTATAAAGCCGTGTGCAACTTCTACACAATAATTTGGAATACAATAAAAACTCCAAAAGCACATATGTGTTTGACCTCCCATTGTGGAATGAGATGCTTCACCAAGGAAGGAGAGCCTGACCTTTACCTTTAAGGTTTTGGTTGTAAGGCTTTAGGTCCATTAGGGGTTCTGCTACTATCTTCACTGAAGTTACTAAAAACAATTTACAAGCAATAGGTGGAGGAGCGGAAAAGCCAAGAACATTTATAGGTGGGTACGGCTTTTGGACAGGCCTACAGCCCTCCCCTCCCAACACACACAAACATTTTCCAACTCAATTTGCACCCCCTCTCGACCTTTACTTCTACACCTTTTGTAAGGTTATAGAACAAATGAGATATCCCGAACCCTTTGTCCATTTTGTAATATATTTCAATTGTTTCCCCTTTTCAGCTCAACCAAATATTGTTATTCTACACACATCAAATTATCAATGGAAGGAATTCAAGAACTATATAATAGCACTTCCTTCAGCACCAGTTGTATGGCTTTCTAAGCTAGAATGAACGCCAAGGGTTTGAATTGTTCATCTTATTCAGCAAGAGATAAGGTTGGGCAGGAGATAGTTAACAGTAGTTACAGACTGGAAATTCATAGAAGAGAGATGATTCCTAGTAAAAATGTCATCTGGCGTCAGCTTAGTTTTGCTGAAGCATAAAATTGTCATTTAAGGTTCAATATATTCTGGTAGATTAGAAAGGAAAGTGGGCTGAGTAAATAGCACAAAGTAGACATAATTACTTCTTATAGTAATTGCCACTACGTCTAGCTTTTGTAAGAACATGGATTAGAATATTCTGGCTTACTTAGCACATTCTTCATATATTCCTATCCAGTCACGAGTTGGACCACCAAGAGTTTCACTTTTCTGAAAATACTCTGCGATCAACTTTAAATTTCCTGAATCAAAAGAGAATATTAAACTCAGTAAGCAATAAACACGATTGGCTAACATTTTTGGTGCATGATACTTACTCAGATCAATGTCAAATAGTTTCTTTAGGCCGGGTCTCTGAACTTTTACAACAACTTTCTCTCCACTGTGTAAGATAGCCCGGTGCACCTAAGAGCATTTTGCAAACAAAAAATCAGGACGAATTATATGCAGTATTATGGAAGACCAGGTTGCTAAAGCCTGGCTACAATCTAAAAGGTAACCACTTTGTGCTTCATTTCATCAAAGTCGATGGGCTTCGTCTCAAAAAATTAGCTGATGGACTAGATAATATTTTTTAAGAAATCAGAGCTAAAAGAATACAGTTCACTTTAAAGAAATTTAAAAAAAAATTATAAATAAACCAAACACCTGACCAAGACTAGCTGCTGCAATGGGTTGATCTTCAAACTCCTTATACAAAATATCAACTGGAATTCCCAGCTCCTTTTTAATAAACTCTTTTGCTCTCTCGGGGGAGAAGGCTGGTACTCTGTCCTGAATGATTACAAAGCAATACGAAATCACAGTCAATGCTAGCATAATTCATTTTCAAGCGTGAACTAATACAAAGGCAATTGTGCAAGTAATTGAGGAGATCATGTTCGCTTTCTCAGAAAGAAGGTAAGCTATACCTGCAACTTAGCAAGCTCATCTACAAATTCTCGAGGAAATAGATCAGATCTAGTAGAGGATAACTGCCCAAGTTTGATAAATGTTGGGCCAAGCTGCAGCACACATTCTCTTAACCATGAAGCTGTTCCACGTCTTCTCACTTTCTGCAGGTACAAAGCTCATTACATAGTGCTCATCGAATCACATAATCCGAGAAGACGAAGAAGGGATGAGAGAGTATCATTGCATGATTTTTGCTCCATACTTGGTAACAGGTTACCCTCAAATATCAATGCAAATTAAATAAAGAAAAGAGAAAAACCAACCTGTTTATCTTCAGTAAAGCCACCCACATATGTCCATTTCGCATTGTCCAAGAAAACACGCACCCGCAGCGAAAGGACAAAGGACCACACATCTATACTTCTTTGGATGGAATTATAGTTCTCATTAGCCCAGCTGAAACCTTCATCTGAAGGTAAAACCTTTAGATCTTCAGCAGGCAGAAGTTCTTTAGATTTTTGTTTCTTTGCAGGAAGTGGAGTAGCAACACGCTTAGCTAGATTTGTTCCATTGATTCTCTGTGTGGAACCATTAACAACCGTGGAACCATTAGCAGATGGTGCAATTCTCTTTGTCACTTCACTTGTAGGTACCATTTTAACTGGACGACCATTTATACCTACTTTTTCAGGGGACTCTGTCTGTTGCATTTGCACTTTAAGCCGGTGACTCTTTCTAGGTGATTTACCAGATTCTCTATCAAATTTCGACAAAAATAGGATAGAGATTGAGCCTGAAAAACTTAGATTGTTTGCATTGCTTCCATGATTTATCAGTTCTCCTCTGCGGCAATAACAGCTTTGAGAAGCCAACATTGCCGCCATTTATGGTATATATCCTGAACATGAGCCAATAAACAGATCAAAAAAGTTTATTAGAGCCAGCAACAGACAAATTTCAACTCTTCCACTGCTGGTAGATAAGAAATAGCTATTGCATATCAAGAATCAAGTAAACATAACCAATGTATTTATACAAAAAAGTTGTACATCGTAGCCATTAAAACATTTTACATTTTCCGAGCAATCTGAAGGAGAGATACTAGTACTACTGC